TAGTGTTTGAGATATGAGAACAAGTGGGGTTTAAACCCCTTCTTATAAATGGATCAAATTTAATCTCAAATGGATGGTCAAATTCTGTAATACTATAATTAACATATTACTTAACATGTATATACAAATATGTATTTAGAAACTTTATATATATTATTTTACATATTAATAACTTAGTTTTCCTCTCTTTAGTTTGGCTTCCCAATTTATTATATTACTTCTTGCTTTGCATTTAGTATAGGCTTATGTATAAACTCCATATCATCTTAGTTGGTGGAGTACTAACATTATATTAGGCCATAGGTATGCTTATATTGTGTCTTATTGTTTTGACTGTTTTGAGACTTAATCTTAAAATTAGAATTTTAGGAGGTGTAAGTATATATTGGCAAAAATATCTAGTTCCTATATAGCAAACTAAGAGCTTCTCACCTCCCAACCACCCTTGAGCCACTCTACTTTATTATCACAAGCAAAGTATGGAGTTCAAGGATTGTTATCCACTAGTTCCTCATTAAATTAGTGATAAGACTCAATACTAAGTATGGGTTGCTAATCTAACCAAGGTTAAGCATAGTAGCAATCTCACAACTACAGAATTGATACACTAGTTGTTATGACCTAACCCTAAATAACAAACAAAGAAGTGTAGCCTTGCCTAGATTATATTATACCAGGTTCCTCACCATCCAACCACCCCCAGATACCTCAAATGTTTCACCCCCTTAATGTAGGTTAAGTTCTTTACCCTAAAATCCATCTTAATATACCCTTGAATAATGCCTAACAATTCTTGGATTTTCCTGGATGATGTTTAATAGAACACTTCTCAAACTCTATAAATTAGACCATTTAATAAGTTTGCCTAGTGTTCAACTCTTTCTGTGTGAATAGATGCATAAGAGGTTTGTGATCTATTAACACCACAAACACTGCACTATAAAGATAGTGCCTTCATGTTTGCAAAACATGAATAATTGAAAGTAACTTTTACTTATATATGGAATATCATTACTCCATAGAATTTAAAGTCTAACTCTTATATGCAATGGATTGTCCCTCTTGTATAAAAAATCCCTCTAGTGCATACATGTCACTTTATAAAGTATTGATGGATCAACAATATGAAATACTAAAGCTTCACTCAACAACTATTTCAATGCCACAAAATTGTTCTTTTATAATTTTGTCCACTCAAATGACGCATTCTTACACAATAATTGTGTGAAGGAATAGCCACCTTCACAAACTAGTGCTAGAAACGTTCGTAGTAATTAACCATACTAAGTAAATTATGTAGCTCAGCCATTAAAGTTAATGTAGACTAATTTTCCACCCTAGCCACCTTTTTTAGATCTATCTTAACATCCTTAGATGTCACAATGTAGCCTAGATACTTCACTTTTGACCTTGCAAATTTATATTTGCTCTTTTTCATGTAAAGTTAATTGTTATATAGTAACAAAAGAACTTTATGTAAATGCACTTTATACTCCTCTATATTCTTACTAAAAATAAGAATATCATCTAAAAACTCTCTACAAACTCATGTAAATAATTTTTAAACACCTCCACTATCAACCAAGTAAATGTGGCTAGTGCATTCATCAAACTAAATAACACAATTGTGAATATAAAATATCTAAAGCTTGTATTAAATACTGTTTTGGAGATAAATATGTTATCCATTGCAATCTAATGATATTCAATCCTCATATCAATCCCTATAAATACTTGGGTTTCGCCAAGTTTATCTAAGATATCATCTACATGTAGCATTGATATTTCATCTTTTACTATATTTTTATTCAAAGTTAATGCACATCTACATTGAGCCATCCTTTTTCAAAAGCAAAATTGGTGCACCAAACAAATATTTACTTAGCTTAATAAATTTAAACTCAATTAACTTCTTGATTTATCATTAAACTTCTTGCTCTTCTGCATAGTACAGCCAAAATAGATGTTCTTAAATTGGCTTTGTCTTTGACTCTAGTGTAATCTCATGTTCCACACCTCATAATAGAGGCAACCTATAAAAAGGTTTAGATGAAAAATATAAAACAAAATTCAAGTATATCCCACATTATTACTTCTCCTTTACATGTGTTTTAGTCCCCCAAGTCACAAATAAATAATAAATAACTCCAAAGTGATTTTTTATTACAACAAGTCCACTTTAAAAATGTAATAAAGAGTATAATTGGAGGTTAAACTCTCTTTTCAAACCATACATCCTCAACACCACTATACTTCAGTGAGACATATTTAATACTTCACTTTATCTTTGAATCTACCTTTACCAACCATAACATCCCAAAAATGAAATCTATATAATAAATTTCTACAAATAAAAAATCTTTAGAAGTATGATTTTTCTAATCAGCCCTTCTATATAAGCATTGAAATGCTAGATAGAGGTAGCTACACTTTCCATTATAAATAAAAGACTCCTCCTGTCACTAAGCATTTAGAAATTTTTCTCTTTAACAAACTTTACCAAAACAAAATTATCAAATCACTCTTACTACACACAATTGAGTTAATGAGTAATGATTAAACACATCTTCCATGAATTAGAATAGTTTTTCTGTCATCCTCACATTATAAATTTTGTAACTTTTTAATATTTCATCCATTACATTGTTGTTTTATGCTGCCATGTGGGTGCTGCAAGACCCTCAAGATGCTATTGATTAATACGTGCAGTGGGGTGTGTGACAAGAAGACTGCAAAGCTTGAAAAAAAAGGTAAAATTGTTAAACTTGTAAGTGAATACACGTTAATTTTGAAAAGATTTTTTAGACAAACATGGAAACCAATATCTTCCTCTTATATCAGGCTGTGCCTTCCAATAGAGAACATTGAATGGACAAAATTAGTAGTAAACAAAATTTCAATGATGTTTAAAATCCAAAAAGATTGCCATTTTACTACTTGTTCTTTAGTTATAGATAATCAACCTTATAATGTCTAAATTTACTGCAATGATAATAACCTTCCTCACAAAGAACTTTTCCTTTGCATCTAAAATAACCACCACATATTTTAGTTTGTGATGTTTGTTCTTGTCCTTCTGTTTACATCAATCATCATAATAATTCTCGACCATAAGACTCCTTGAATGCTTGAGTTAGTACATAGCTCCACCAGAGGAACACAAAGCATACCAGTTGCTCGAAATGTTGAAAATGGCTGTAGTGCCCATCACAAATTGTCAAGACAAAACAGCATTGATGTTTCATTTAGCCAACTCTTTCTAGAACTGGGAGCCTGTAGTGCAAGGTGACTGCTGTGTCGGGATGGTGAGTCGCAGGAGCATAAAACTGGAACTTCATCACCAGGTAGGAAAGACTTGGAGCCACTCCTGTAGATGGAAAGAATAAAAAAGAAAGAAAGACAAAACCCATACCAACATAGCATGTGTCTGGCCTTGTCAAACTGCATTGCAAGCTCTTCGCAAAGTGTTTGATCTTCACTTGCTGCCATACAATCAAGAGTGTTTAGTAGGAATCCAAGAGTTTTCTTTCAGTGCGTACCACAGAAGACGCTTCTCCCCTGGCTAGAGCTTGTTCCAGCCGCGTCGCTGGACTGGCGGTCGCGTCTAGAGTGGAGCCAGCAGCCGCTACAAAAGCAACACCTTGTCTGTTTTACTCTAGAAGACTATAGGAAAAAAAACAAAAAAGCGTTTTTCTACGCACCTCTTTCCCCTAGCACTTGCAGCCTCCGAAACTCGGAACCTATAGACACCAAAGTGGTGGACACTTGGAGGTGCACATCGCCATGAAACGTTACTGCCACGTCCAGAGCTTCTCCGACGTTCTTGAGGCGATCCACCAAGATTTGGAGCTGACCCAAGTCGGGCATCTGTACAAGAGTCTGTCCAAACAAGACTAAGTAAAATAAAGTGTAGAATTCCTGGAGGACAAGAAAAAAACTTAGTGATACCCGAGGCAAATTGTGAACAGCGTCAATGGTGTCTTGAAGCTCCTGGACGTCGCCTCGACTCAGGGGCTGTGAGATTGGGATGTCCTGAACAACAGCCGATCTGAATCCCTGGAGAGTTTCTTAGATGCCATACGAAAAATCGAGCTAGCCTAGACGAAAGACGAAGAAGAAGAAGAAAAACATACCTTACTTTCCAGAGTGAGATATGGCATTGGACGCTCGTTCAAAGAAGGCCGCTTCTTCACCAGCTTGATTTGCAGCTTATCTCCATCCATGCTCACGCTGCTCTTGAGCGCTCGCAGCAGCAGGTTTAGATCCAGCGCGAAAGCAATGCGGTCTTCGTTCTGGCTGGAAATCCGATAGTCATCGAACAGCAGTGCCTAAAGCACACATGTATCAGACAGAGGAAGAAAAAAACGAAAGAGAGTGAGAAAAAGAATGCCCACCTCCTTGAACTGCGCAATCGCCTGGACGCCATCGGCATTGACGGCATTGTGCATAAGCGTGACGTGCGTCCTGGTGAGATAGACGTAGCACGTCTTCCCAATCTTCTCAAACGCCGGCACGAATTCTAGCAAAGAACCGGCGAGGAGGATCCATCAAGAAGATCGAGCTATCTACCGATCGAATCGATGGAATCGGCTTACTCTTCTCCAGCGTCGTGACGCCCTTGTCCGTGAAGAATGCCTTGAATTTCATCGTTAGGGTTTTAGGGCAAAGCCCAACCAGAGGTTTAGTTAATGTTAATAATACAGAGTAACATTAAACATGGAGATAAATTTATCCCTAGAATATGCTCAAACAGTGTTTATTTATTCTGACGTAATTTGATTAATTTTAAATCACGAATGACTTATAGCGACCTTTTAACTCGAGCGTCCAATAGAATCACATGATGCTAACGTGTGAGTGGAAGTTTTGTCTCGTCATTGAGGACCACACTCGTGGTAGCGTACAGCGTTAGTAGTCCACGGCTCCAAGTCGGGAGTATATATCTTTTGTTCATGCTCCAAGCTCCCCAGAGTCGATCATCAATAGTGAAGCGTGTAACCATGGCTACTATAGCTTCTACTTGCCAGCTCCTGTTTTCGCACAAAACCACAGTCAGTCGAAGCTTTGAGAGGAGAATCGCAAGTAGGACTCACCAGAGATGCCTCGTCACAGCGAAGGTTGCCAAGCAAAAGAGCTCCAGCGTTGCCACCGCGCCTGCTTCTCTAGAGATCGCCCCGGATGTTGCGACGCAGCGCGGTGTTTCATCGCCGGTCCTTCTTGAATGCGTCCTGGTCGTGTACAAGAAGAACGTGCTAGATCTCGTTGACGTCCTCGCGGATTTCCGGGACGACGCCGCCGATCTTCTGCTCGGCAAGAAGGTGACGGTTCAGCTCGTGAGCGAAGAACTGCTTCCTGGTAAGCACGAAAGCGGTTTAGATGCTGAACTTAGCTTCTTACCTGCCTTTGGTTCTCTACAGGCACCCAGGAACCGAAGATGAGCGACGTGGTGCCGATAAGTCACTGGTATTGTGCTCGAGACAGAATCGAAGCGAGCGGATGTATCACACACAAAGTCCAGATAGTTGTAGATAAGAGCTTCGGGACTGTTGGGGCTGTTCGTATTGGCAATGCTCACCCGAATGAATTCTTTCTCAGCACCTTCCACATTGTGCAGCCAGATGGAACTTCAGCTTACTTCACCAGTGATTCATGGCTGCACCCGACCGCGGAGAACTGCCCCCGAATTTTCTTCAGAAACAAGGTAAGGCATCTGCACATATATTATTTTTTTTCGTTAAAGCTGAGGAAAGAAAAATCTGATGTGATAAGGTGTGCCTACCTGGCAACACTCCCTTGGGCCTGAGAAACTTTCGTGCACGAGAACTCCAAGATATTCAAGGCGACGGAACAGGCGAGCGAAAGGATAGCGACCGGGTTTACGACTACGATGTGTACAACGACCTCGGGAACCCTGACAACGACATTGAGCTGCGGAGACCCGTTCTTGGAGGAGGCGAGTTTGCTTATCCTCGCAGAGTTAGAACCGGTCGCCCGCCTACACAAACAGGTGAGTCATGAGTTCATACAAAGAGCAATTTTACTTACCGATATCTAAGCTAAACAGATCCACGGTCGGAGAGTTTGCCTCCTGGAATCGATAACATGTATGTCCCGTCGGACGAAACGTTCATGAGAGAGAAAAACTCCAACTTCGTAGGGGACACGATCAAGGCCGCTGCACATTTTCTGGTTCCAGCTATCAAATCGGTATACAGGAGGGACAAGAGCCCTTACTTTCAGAGCTTCGAACAGATTATAGCGCTGTATGACGACGGTATTGAGCTGGGACAAGACGTCAGTAGTACAAATGCAAATGAAAAGAAGAAACTTCGGAATCCCTTCACCTTGATCAACCAGCTGACAGATACCGATAAAACCAACAACAACCTTCTCAAGTACCCGTTGCCGCAAATTATCCAAGGTAGGATATGGAGCTGTTCCGGGGTTTTGCCTCTCATCGTCGCTTCTTTTTGCAGATGATTGTGAATCCTGGATGCTGGATTATGAGTTCGGAAGGCAGACTATTGCGGGCCTGAATCCCATGATAATAAAAAAGCTCGAGTGCTATCCTCCTGTAAGCAGCCTGGATCCTAAGATTTTCGGGCCAAAAGCCACTGCACTGAAAGACGAACACATACTGGATCAGCTCAACGGCCTCACTGTTCAAGAAGTAAGAAAGTATTTTTCTAAGAACCAAGCTTCACCGCTGGTGTTTGTCAGGCTCTGGAGGCGAATAAGCTCTTCATCTTGGATTACCACGATGCATTCCTGCCATACTTGAACAGGATTAATGCGCAGGAGGGAAAGAAAACATACGCAACACGGACTATATTGTTTCTTACAGACAGAGGTGTCTTGAAGCCTATAGCCATCGAGTTGAGCCTCCCAGCAGCAACAGCGACCGGCCAGAGAAAGAACAGGGTATTTGTCTGCTCCGACACACCAAAGAGGGACTGGGCTTGGGAAGTTGCCAAAGGACACGTTGCCGTGAATGACTGTGGATATCATCAACTCATTAGTCACTGGTAAGAGAATGATACAAAAAAATATATGGCAATGCTTACCTGATCGCGCTCATCCAGGCTGAGAACGCATGCCGTCATGGAACCGTTTATAATTGCTATGCACAGGCAGCTGAGTATTCTTCATCCAATCTACCTCCTGCTGATTCCGCACTTCAAAGACACAATGACCATCAATTCCAAAGCTCGCCAATCGCTGATCAATGCATCAGGAATCATCGAAGACAACTTCACACCGGGAAAATACTCCATAGAATTAAGTGCTGTCGTCTATGGATCGCTGTGGAGATTCGACCAGCAGGGACTTCCAGCTGACTTGATCGCCAGGTAAGGGGATTTCTAGCTTGAAACTATCCAAACGAAAAGCAAGCACGATTTTTTTTCCAGGGGAATGGCTACTCCAAATCCGAAAGCCAGACACGGCCTAGACCTCCTCATTGAAGACTATCCTTACGCAGTGGATGGACTGAACCTCTGGAGTGCATTGAAGCAATGGGTGACGGACTACACAGACATTTTCTACAAGGACGATGCTTCAGTCAGGGATGACACTGAGCTCCAGGCATGGTGGCAAGAAATCGTGAATGTTGGTCATGCAGACAAGAAAGTTGGATGGACAGACCTGAACACAAAAGCAAACTTGATCGAGGCACTCACCACCATGATTTGGATCCCATCGTGCCACCACGCTGCTGTTAACTTTGGCCAGTATGCATACGCTGGATTCCCAGTGAACAGGCCGACCATCTCTCACAAGCTCATTCCCGACGAAGACACCGAAGAATATAAACAGCTGCGAAGAAACGGGGAGAAATTCTACCTCTCATCCTTCTCCACCAAAACCGAAGCGACGCAAGTGATGACAACCATCGAGATCCTCTCCACGCATTCATCCGACGAAGAGTACCTGGGCACGCGGCCGGAGCACTGGACGAGCGACAAACGGGTGCTGGACGCATTCGAGCGATTCAAGGCCGCCATAGCCGAGACAGAGGCCGAAGTGATGGCAAAGAACGCAGATCCAGAGCTGGAGAACCGCCGCGGCCTTGTCAATCTACCCTACACGCTCCTCGCCGTGAGCTCGTCCCCGGGCATCACTGGCCGAGGAGTCCCCAACAGCATCTCCATCTAGATGGCGCTACCATTGTAGGGTTAGGGTTCTTCATACTTTAGTTATAATTCTCTCTCTCTCTCTCTCTCTCTCTCCATTCTTCTAGAACGCCAAGAACTCGGCCGATCCGCTGCAATACAGCCTTGAATCCCTGCTCTTCCTGGAGTTATCTCTGATTTGTTCCTTTGCATTCTCGATGACTCCACCACGAGCTTGTCCTGGTATCCTTCTACACTTAAAATTAAGATCAAGAGAGAGAAAAGAAGCCGTCTTGTCTTCTATGATGGGAAGCTCATACCTGCAGAAGAAAATGTTTATCTCTTACTCTTCTCACGTCCTAGAAAAAATCTCTACAAGCATCAGTCACATCTAAAACAGAGAATGGATCAATCACTTAGGAAATGCACAAGTGATGAGGAATCCAGCGCGGGGATGATCCACCACACCAGTGTATGAGCACTGGACAAGGAGATATTTCCAAGCATCGCTACAAGAAAAAGAGTTCCTTCTAAACATCGCGACAAGGGATCTACTGGACCATCGCTTGTGGCGTGGATTCTGCATCGATGCTCGCTTTTGCTGCAACAGGGATGACAGTAGAGGATGAAGAGCACGAGAAATCGAGACCAGGCTTGTTTTTAGCTTCCTCGGCTTCTTCAATTTGAGAGAAAATGGCGCTTCAGGAGCCGAATCTGCGAGGAAGTAGAGGAGAGAGACAGATCATCTTCATGAACCCTAAAATCCCTCCCTCTAGAACCATAAATTTTGTTCGACCGCGTCCGACCAGGATCCCGACCGCCGCCGAACGCGGTCGGACAACTCCGTTCGGTGATTCCAATATTCCAATGGCAATCGCACTCGCAGGGGCTAGATTTCCGATGCTGTTGCCCTGGATCACCACTGCATCTCCACCGCTTTGCTAGTTCTCCTGCTGCTCCGCTATGGAGCGATCCATCCACGAATGCTCAGCAAGCCTACATCGAATCTGACGAAAAGGACTATAGGAGCTGCGTCAGTAACTCCACTTCCTGCCAGGCCTATGCAGCGTACTGAGCTCTCCAGGGCGACATCTGCAGTCGGTTGGCCTCTGCTTGTATAATTTGTGCCCTAAAATGGAAATTCAAATGAGAGGAAGATGTTTACTTTTACTAGTATGGTTTTATTAAAAATGTTTTTTTTAATCAAAAAAAATTATAAATTGTCATTCACCATTGATAATTAGCAAGTTAGTTAATTACTATTCAAAATAATCAAAATTAACCTTATTAATGTCACAATTAAATGCAAGGACCAAAGCCAATTGTCACTTCTCTGGCATAACCTTTGTGCTTTTCTCCCAAGCTCTTGTGCAGATCTAAAGAGCATTGCGACCCAGGTGGAGAAGGGCTTGATGTGGAATGTGATGGATATGCCAAGGTCTTCTCTTGCCGCGTTTGTCAAGTATGTCATGTCACCGATGCGGACTCAGTGCTCCAGTTTGTGAACTGGCAGTTGTTTTTCTCTTCTGGTGTTCGTTTCTTCGACTTCTCTTGTTCCATTTGCAGCAGGTGGAGGATGGAAGTTGATATGCCACCGCAAGTTTCCAATAAGCCGAGCGTTCTCCCGGAGCTGGAAATGTTTTGCTACCTCGTTGTTCTCATCTACTTATCGATCAGAGACAGTATAAGCAGGTGAGCACTTTCATTTTTCTTCTAGCCAGCTGGATTTCTAATCTTGTTCCATAGGCGAAATCTTGCGCAGATGAATGAGATTGCAACAGCTAAACCGGCGGACTCCCCTCGACACTACTACTCACTTTGTAGCTACGAATGCATCGATTCACTGGCTGAGACTCGAGGGTATTTGATGTATTCAAATAATCAAATGGTTTCCAGGGCACTTCTTTCTCACACTTCGTCACGACGAGCTGCGACAGGTTCTGTTTTTTTTCGATTCAGTATATGTGGAGGCCCCTTCGAAAGAACAATGCGGTGTTTGATTTGGTGCTGTTACCACGCGCGCTGGGACAGGATAACGTTGCTTGTACTTACCACAGGCCCGTTCTCGAGGCTACGATCAAGGCGCAGCAGGCTTGGAGAGAGCTGTTTTATAACAGTGGCCACCCCGACAACGATGAAACGCTGCTGGTTTTCTTTTTACCCCCGGATTCCTATCACGGCTTCAAGTTCCAGAAGTACCGATCATCTAGAAAGGTTTCTCAGAAAGCTGTCAGAGGTGAGTGATTTCATATGAGCAAGAAGTATGTGAAGTTACAGTTTCCTTCTTTAGGTGGCCGTGCCGGTATCTGGAAGTCCTTATGTAGAAGAGATGAGCCACGAGATGGATGTGGTTTCTCTAGATGCGAACTTGCCGGGGACTTGGGAAGAGGTTCTCGGCTGCATAGAGTCCAAGGAAACTTTTGAAGATCCACCGGAGAAATCACTTGTCCAAGAAAAGCTCCAATATTTGAAGAGGAAGTTGGCGATAGAGACGAGCTGGACGACTTGGAAAAGATCCGTGACATTGCAGATGGTAGGCTGAAGCGCAAACGTCTTCAATCACTGTGCAAGATGCACAATATCAGAGCCAATACCACCAACGACGAGATTCTGTTTGATCTGGCTGATCTCTGGCAAAGCTCTTGTTCTATATTTGTTTCCTCTCTAAGAACTATGGCTGCTTATGCTTAACATTGATAAATTAGTCTAGCAATCTCGTGGAAAACCAAGAAAGAATGGTTGAGTACAAAGTCAAAAACAATGGCTAAGACTGGCTGAAGTCAGATTTGTTGATGACATACCTCTAGAATTTAGAACCCATATAGTTTACTGAAGAACTACGGAATCAGCAGGAGGTAGATTGGATGAAGAATGCTCAGCTAGCAATAATAAATGGTTCCATGACGGCATGCGTCCTCAGCCTGGATGAGAGCGATCAGGTACGCATTGCTATATAATTTTTGTATCATCGTCTTGGATTCCTCGGCTTTTTTTTGCCAAACACTCTTGATTTAGTGGCAGCACGTGAAGAACAAACACTTTGCGAAGAGCTTGCAATGCCAGACGCATGCTATGTCGGCACGAGCTTTGTCTTTCTTTCCTTCTGTATTTCTTTCGCTTCGGTTTTTCTTCATCTACAGGAGTGGCTCCAACCTGGTGGCAAAGTTCCAGTTTTATGCTCCTGCAACACCACAGAGGTCACCTTGCACTACAGGCTTCCAGTTCTAGAAAGAGGCGGCTAAAGTGTTTTGTCTGGACAGTGTACAATGGAAAAATCCAAATCACGATCATCTTCTGCTACGCCTCGTTGATAAAAACACAATGACCATCAATTTCAAAGCTCGCCACCAATGCATCAGGAATCATCGAAGACAACTTCACGTCGGGAAATCACTCCATAGAACCAACTGCTGTCGTCTATGGATCGCTGTGGAGATTCGACCAGCAGGGACTTCCAGCTGACTTGATCGCCAGGTAAGATTTCTAGCTTGAAACTATCCAAACAAAAAGCAAACAATGATTTTTCCCAGCCAAAACCGAAAGCCAAGCACGGCCTAGACCTCCTCACTGAAGGCTGTCCCTACGCAGTGGATAGACTGAACCTCTGGAGTGCATTGAAGCAATGGGTGACAGATTACACAGACATTTTCTACAAGGACGATGCTTCAGTCAGGGATGACACTGAACTCTAGGCATGGTGGCAAGAAATAAGACAGTTGGATGGACAGACATGAACACAAAAGCAAACTTGACCGAGGCACTCACCACCGTGATTTGGATCCCCATCGTGCCACCACAACTTTGGCCAGTACGCATACACTGGATTCCCAGTGAACAGGCAGACCATCGCTCACAAGCTCATTCCTGACGAAGACAGGACACCGAAGAATATAAGCAGCTGCGAAGAAACGGGGAGAAATTCTACCTCTCACCCTCCAAAGCCGAGGCGACGTTGGTGATGACAACCATCGAGATCCTCTCCACGCATTCCTCCGACGAGGAGTACCTGGGCACGCGGCCGGAACACTGGACGAGCGACAAACGGGTGCTGGACGCATTCGAGCGATTCAAAGCCGAGACGGAGGCGGAAGTGATGGCAAGGAACGCGAAGAACCGCCGCGGCCTTTTCAATCTCCCCTACACGCTCCTTGCCGTGAGCTCGCCCCCGGGCACTGGCCGAAACAGCATCTCCATCTAGATGAACCCTAAAACCCCAAATAGATCTAGTCGTATATTTAAATTTTCCCGCTCTAAGGATTAGGGTTCGTCATACTTTATTTATAATAGACACAATCTCCAAACTCTCATCTAGTACGCCAAGAACTCGCAGATGAAGGGCTGATCCGCGTGCTCGTCGTTGCAATACAGCCCTGGATGCTGCTTGAATCCCTGCTTGGCCAGCAATTCGCGTACCGCGAGCACCAGATCCTTGTTCCCGATGCCTCGTCCATCGCTCTCGCGCAGCACGCTCTGGACGGCATTGCTGAGAGCACCGTAAGCACCCTCCTTGTTCCCCCCGGGCTTCGCATCCGCTGAGGTCTCATCCGATTGACAGCCGCTCACAAGCACCGCCATGTCCGATCTGCGACCCTGGTTCCCACTTCCAGCGTAGGCATCGTGTGGATTCGCGTGCGTTTTCACCGCCGGTGATGCGTACTCCTCCCCCGATTCCTCGAGCTTTGTCTTGAGGAAATCCTGCGCGAGACCACCGATTGCTCCCCAGATCCCCCCCTGGCCTCCATCGTTCCCTCCGCTGCTCTGGAGCCTCTGGAAGAGAAGATTGACGAACTTCTTCACCTTGGGGCTGGCGTCCTCGCCGAAAACGTCGAAGAGCGTGGGTCGGATGTTGCCCACGCTCACGTCTTGCCTGCCGGTCTTCTCCTTGAGGAGATCGATGAACACCGACAGCGGCAGTGACTTGTTCTTGACGACGTCACCATTCTCGGTTTCTTCCTCGAGAACTTGCTCTTCTTCTTGGTCCTCTTGGCGACGGTGGCGGCTGCCCAGCTTGAATGGGAGCTTGATGCCGGATCGGCTCTCAAACGCGCTCTGGACGCCCTGGAAAACGAGATTTCGGAATCCACCACCACGGCCACCTTGTTCTTCCTCTTCTGCGGAGTATGATCTTGATCCAGTGGAGCTATCGCCGACTTGCTCCTTGGCATTCTCGATCAATCCACCGCTGTGGCAC